GTCAGTACTGTACGTCAGAGGACTCATGGATATCACGGACAGCTCCTAGACATCCCCTGTCAATTACCAATAGAAAAAAAAGAGTAGACTGTTAAGCCCGTCGTACACGAGCAAAGAAAATTTGACAAATTTCTTTGACGGTCTTTTCAAATTTTCTTTGACCGTGTACGAAGCCAGCAATTTATTTGACGGCCTATCGTACACGAGCATAAGTTCTAGGGGCTTGCTGGCAGGGAGTTTAGGAGGACGGTGTCCTCCCAGGCCCCCATTAAACAATAAGTCCACCCGTATAAGCGGGCCCCCCTGAGAGCTTTGATTTTCACGCGGAATCCCCTCAAAAAATTGAGAGTGCGCACGCGAAAAATCATACATACACAACGATTAGTAAAATATATTATGCTGACGTGCAAATATCTGTCACCTTAAGGTGAAATGGTCTTTGATACATGTATTCATGCCTCGATATGTATAAGATGCAATTTATTATTTGGATAGAAATACATTGTATTAGCATTGTTTTAAGCAGGCCTGTCATGAGTGTCTTGTGTAGTACAGTAGTATGTCTTATAGTCAAAATAGCAGCATAAATTTGGAAAATATGATACCTAGATTTCTCCCAGAAGTGCTTGCATGCACGCCCCTGATAAGTTCCATATCTTTGACACATTTATTTGACGAAAAGCTATGCATGCCAGTTTTTGTCAAATCTCATATGGCAAATTTCCTCTAGTACACGAGCAAATTTCTTTGACAAATCTCCATTTGTCAAAGAAAATTTGCTCGTGTACGACTTGCTTTATATTCATTCGGTCCCTGGCAGCGTTCTGTATTTATTTCCATTTCATCTGTTGTATCTGTCCTATATACAAGTAAGGGAGAGTTGTTTTATCAATAGAACAGTACCATGTGACGATTACCATATGACATTAGCAGATAATAAATTCTTATAATAATTCCATATGACATTATTAGATAATAAATTTCTACAATAATTTCATTATCGTCAATGTTAAATTCTGACTATGTCTCAGCCAATATCGATTATAAAAACATGTCGTAGATTCTAGTCTAGTTATCCAGAAATTATTGTTTCAATTATCTTACAAAATCTTTAATAAAGGTGGTCACCGAGCATACTGAGATTTCACAGACATGTAACACGCTTGACAGAAAAACTAAATTCAAATCCATCAAACTACGATAGAACAAAAGGTTCGAAATTGAGCATGCAAAGAAAAAGAAGAATAGCGGGGATCAACAGAAATGGGTGTTGAAACTGTCATACTGTAAAATTGATAGTAGAAATTTTTGCGAATGGGAAAAATTAGCAAAGAGAGAAAGAGCTGATGAAAACTGGCACAATCTACATTTTGTTATTTTAGCACCTGTTAGTAGTGTTATGATCGTTTCTCAGTTTTTGTCGTTGTATTCTTTCTTGTCAAAACTTACCTGTGAACAAAATGAAATGAAAGAATAAACTTAAAGGGAGTCGCCCCTGTATAAAAAGCTAAGAAAACCGATTTCTTATATGCCCGTTCAGTACCATGCTAGATCTCTATCCAATGATCCAGTGTTATTATCCGTATTCAAAGGAAATCTTAAGTCTGAAATATTCATGTAAGTACCAAATATCAGTATCGTCATGTCGACTAAGGGAGTCAGTCGCCTACGATTTAATTCAGACAAGGTTGCCGAGCACCTTTGGGGTTGTAGTACTATAATCCGACGTCATATTTAGTGTACGAACTAAGACATAAACTATTATTTCTTGTGTATTAAAAAGTTATATTTATACAGGGGTAGAAAATAACGCTAACGACATATTTCTAAAATGTATCGTCCTACCAGCCTGACTAACGAAGAAGGGTGTATGTCACGTTGTTTTCCCGGACAGCGCCGTTCCGCTTACGTTTATTGGAATGCTGACCCCTGGGCGTGAACGCAAAACGTAGTAAGGACTGACAAATAGACAACTACTAGACGCAGTTCAAGTCACCCCGTCATGCACCACTGTCATGGTGAAATGGCACTGAAATAATATATCGACCTCGGGATCGCAGTCGTATTAGGAGGCAGACCACCATTAAAGTTCACCATCTCGGTACCCCAAATTGTAGTTTGTCTATTTATAGCAATTATCTCCCTCTCTCTCTTTTCTCCACTTTTGCGTGCCATTTTTGTTGATTTTTGGTCTAGAATGGACGAAGAGGGTTTGAATTAACATTTTCTGCCAGGTGTTGGTAAATATTCATGATTTTGAGGCGGAAGGATAAAAGGCGATATGTACGGCAACTGGTTACATGTTTTTAGTATGCTTCTTCAAGTTTGTGTTTCTCAAAATTTTGGTGGTCAACCTCATACAAATTTTAGTGCAAAGACATGACCATTTGTTCCTCTGTCTGTATTGAAAAGCATTCAGCCCAACAAAAATTTGGGGAACGGTTGGAGGTGGGCAAAGAGGCCAGAATTAACATTGAAGTCAATGGGGAAATTAATGGTGGTCTGCCTCCATTAGAAAAAATAGTTACTTCCCTTGGACCATAAACACGTCGAATGGGATTTTATGCAATACCAGTGGCTTTCACAGTCATCCTACCAAACATAATAAATTGGATTATAGACGTTAGAAATATGACAGGAATAAGATTATAACAATATTCAACAAAAATAGATACAATAATAAATATTATAAAGATGGACAAACGCAATTTGGCTTACTTGTGACAATGGTCCTTGGTTTCTCAATTGACACAGAAACGAAAACAGAATATCGGAAAATGACAACCGTGAATTGGACCCTTTTTTTTAGTTGTTTGTACAATCGGCCTTTGAAATATTATTAAATCTACAAATTAAGAAGCTAGTCTATATCACCTATCAGAAGTAGTAATTAATGGTGGCGTGTAAAGGGGGTTTAGCGCCCTACTGTTCTGTCTGATTTGGGCTAATGTAGACGGGCACACGCCATACAGTGAGCTATGAGGAAAATGTTGCCCTGAAAGGGCAGCTACGACCTACTCTTATATCGAATTTCAGCTGCCGAGGGATCTTTTACCTGCACGCCGATATGTACACTGGACTTCGATTTTTCGTCCCATTCAAAAGTCTATACACTGTTTCTTGCCTGGCACTGTGTCCTGCACCACTGACAAGGGGGAACCACGTCGGAAAATCCCGATGAACATTCTCGGCCTACGTAGGGATCGAAGACGGAACCTGCAGGCTAGCGAGCCAACGTCTTACATACTGAATTACCGTGACTCCCGTTGTTTAGCGTAAATACAAGTTTACTGCTTAACAACAAAGTCTTCAAATTTGTTTTTAAGTTCTTTCATAAATTCAGCTTTACAGCGTTGACATGGGCGGTAACTCTCAAATATTTTATGTGTGATTCTCACATTTAATAGGGTTCGTTGAATCCAAATTTCCCCTGTGAAGACAACGTGATTTTAGAAATTGTGAGACTGTCTATTAAATACTTCGAGGACGTAGCTAAAAACGTTGGGATATACTGATGTGCTTGTTTTTAGCTACGATTGGGTGCGAAATATTAAAAAAAGTAAAATTGAACCATGTTAGTCCCGATATGACCCACTTTGTGTCAAGTGGACATTAAATATCATCTCTCTCTCTCTCTCTCTCTCTCTCTCTCTCTCTCTCTCTCTCAACTGTATATGTATTTCCATCAGGGGTTGGTGGTTCAATTTTACCCATAATATCAATAGCCACACGTTCTAACCTGTTGGGTTGTTTGGGTAAGAGCTCAAGTCAGCTCTCTTTTTGGAATCTTTCGTCGAAACATGTCACATCCTCCGTAACTTCTTTTATCATACCTGGCCAATAGCAACTTTGTTTTAACCTGTCATTGAGTCACGTGGTGTGGTTTCGATTTCCCGCTTGTACGTGACAAGGAGTAGAGTCGCCTATCCAGCCGTTTTCTCCGGTTTCCCCCTACTGCTAGCAAAATATTAAAATAAAAGTGAACCTTGTTAGTCCCGAAATGACCTAGTTTGTGTCGAGTGGACATTAAATATCACCTCTCTCTTTCTCCCTCTCTCTCTATCTCTCTCTCTCTCTCTCTCTCTCTTTGTCTCTTGGGGTTGGGCGGCCGAATGGTTAGCACGTGCGGCCGAATAATAAGGTCTGTCATTGAGTCAACTAGTTTGGTTTCAAATCCCCGGTTGTCTGTGACCTCGTTGGTTTTCTCTTGGTCCTATGGCCCCACCCACCCCAATGCTAAAGACTCCTACGCACAAGCTAATTGTTGAAACCTCGTGGGTTTTCTCTTGGTCCTATGGTCCCACCCACCCCAATGCTAAAGGCTCCGGGGGGGGAGGGGGGCCAATGGTTAGCATTGAGTCAAATGGTCTGTCATTGAGTCAACTGGCGGGGTTTCGATTCCCCGGTTGTACGTGACAAGGAGTAGGGTCGCCTGTCCAACCTCGTGGGTTTTCTTCGGGTCTTCCGGTTTCCTCCCACTGCTAAAGACCCCTACGCACAAGCGAATTATTGAAATAAAAAAAATTAAACCATATGTTACTCCCGAAATGACCTAGTTTGTGTCGAGTGGACGTTAAATCCCATTTCTCTCTCTCTCGCTAAAGACTCCTACGCACAAGCTAATTGTTGTAATGAAATTAAACCATGTGTTAGTCCCGAAATGACCTAGTTTGAGTCGAGTGAACGTTAAACCCCCCTCACCCCTCTCTCTCTCTCTCTCTCTCTATCTCTCTCTCTCTCTCGCGCTCTCTCTCTCTCTCTCTCTCTTAAGAGGGTAAAAAGTAAATTGGATCCAAGTTCAGTCTTCTAAAAAGGGTTCTATCTGCTTAGTATTGCCGAAATAATACTCATTTATATAAAGCTCTCTCCCCCCCCCCCTCTCTCTCCCTTTCTCTCAAACGCATATTTTATTATAATTATATTTTATTACATTATACTACTGACTCGGTGTTTGCTACAATGTTTAGCGACAAAAGCAGGAAGGTCCGCAGTTTTTATATGTGTTTGTTTACCAGTGCTGATCATGGCAACCAAAGCCAGCTAAAAGATAAAGAATTGGATTTTAGTATCAAAGTAATATAAATACAGATGGCAAAAATCTAGTGTATAGACACCTCTTTTATATAATAAAAATATTATTCTGTTTGTGAGTAGGAATGCTGATATTAATGATGCATTATTTAAGAGCTAAATATGCCTATTGTAGGTCTTTATTTCGGCTTCATAAATTTTCATTTAGACATATGTTCACATGACAAGCATACAAGCCTAGACCTTCGGATGGTAGAGATTTAAACGGATTGAAACACGGTCGCTATGGAATGATTTAATTTTTTAAAAAGTGGTGAATCGAGGATGAGCCTCAATTAACAAGTACCGTTGCTACGATAATAAACAACTTATGGAACATCTTTGTCAAAACTTCAAACGTTGATAACTTCGCTCAGAATAAAGTATTTTGAATGAAATTTTCAATATATTCATTTTGCATTGTATATTTCGAAACTTTTAGCAAGAACAGTCAGCCCTTTATCTAAATCTTACATAATGCATCTTTAAGGTTTAAGCCGGACATTAAAAATAGAGATTGACATTTACAAAATGAGATAATTCTCGATAACTAAGCCAATCCATCGTTCAAATATAATTATAAAATGAGCTCATTTAAGATTGAATCACATTACTACAATCAAATTAACAACATAGATGTTATTTTCTGAACTTTCTTACCTCAGTAGCTCTAAGACCTGTTGGGGTCGTGATGGCGGTTTGTTGAGCAGCATCCAGATCGAATACATAACATTCGTTCTCGGTTTTGATGATCATTTTGTTCTGAAATATGATTCGAGCAAATTAGAATTATTTTTAAAAATGTATTAATTCGAATCGTGGCCGACCGGACAAATTATCACTTTCACGTTGGACGGTTAACCAGATCGTAATTAATATAATTGGTGTAGGCCTGTGTGTAACAAAATATATACTTACATCCGCAGCATCGTGAATAAAGTGGAAGTTATCGTGGATATTTGGAGCATGGCTAGAATGCGGGTGCTGTGTATGGGGATGCGGGGTATGGCTGGCATGTTGAGCCTGGAATTAAAAAGAAGAAAACTGGGTTTAATAAGTACATGTATACGCATCAGTATTTTAATAATAAAGAGTGGCGATAACACGGACAGTCCATAGATGTTTAGAAATAATGTGTCTAGTCGTTGGTCAAAGAAGAAAAAAACCATCAAATCATCTTAAAATAATAGAAAACAAATTCGTAAAATTATGGAAGTAACATGTCGAGGAAATGTCAAATCACACCAATTTCCTATAGCTGTAAGTGTTCCACATATCGAATACATTAGCATCATATTCTTCACAACCGTCTTGTGTACCTCCAGAAACAATATCACTAAAGACTCAGTACAATATTGTTTCTATTTATTAGAAATGTTTTTATTTAATGAAATGAAATGTGATTTAACGTCCTACTGTTCAGCTCCGACGGTGCTTATTAAGACGGGCATACGCTATACAGTCTGCTACGAAGGAAATTTTGCCCGGACAGCGGCGCTATGGTCTACTTTTATATCTAATTCCATCTGCCAACGGTTCCTTTACTGACCATCAGAATGACTACCCGTTGTCCCTTGCCCGGCGTAACCTTCAAGTTTTCATTCGACAAAATGTAATTGATTAGCGCGTGCGCTTTGTATTATAAAGGCTGCCATTGGGTCAACTGGCGTGGTTTTGACTCCTCGGTTGTACGAGACAAGGAGTAGGGTCGCCTGTCCAACCTCGTGGGTTTTCTACAGGTCCTCGGGTTTCCTCCAACTGCTAAAGACACTGTACGCGCAAGCGAATTATTGAAATAAAATTGAACCATATGTCAGTCCTGAAATGACCTAGTTTGTGTCGGGTGGACATTAAACCCCATCTCTCTCTCTCTGTCTCTCTCTCTGTCTCTCTTTCTCTCAATGTAATTTTATTTTCGAGTCCCTTAAAATTAATTAAGACACGCTTTTTAGTTTCAGGGCCCATGTTAGATTCAGTATCCTGATGTAAAGTAGTATTGTATACTTACAGCCACGTAGGATAGAACAGCACAGGCAATGATAACTTTGAACATTTTGCTGGGTGGATACGTTGCTTCTGTTCGTTTGAATAAACGTTGTGTACAGGGGTTTCAGTTATTAGACTTTCTCCTGTTTTATAGCGTCTGCTTATCTTCTTTCTTATCAGCAGTTTCTCACCTTATCAATGTAATTGTGGGCATTGTGGCATGTGAAGTTTGCTGTATGGCATTATAAAAATATAGATAATAAATTAGTCTGCAGAATATAGAAACAAATCAAGAGTAAAGTAGTATAGAAGGAACCCTTTTCTTAAATACAGTACTATTAAATCTTAGAAAAAAGAACTCAGAATAGATCGAATAATTAAAGGACAATATTGGTGTCAGTCATTATAAAATATGTGATAGAGCTCGTTAAATACATCCCAAATATAATTTTAACACAGAGATCATTGCTACGGGAGATGTCTAACAAGCACATGAAGAAACGGGAAGTGACATCAAACATGACAAACATGAGTTGTCCTTCTATATAACTGACTGAAGTTACCGCTCGTTACTTCAGTCTATTATATAGAAGGACAACTCGTGTTTGTCATGTTTGGCGTCACTTCCCGTTTCTTCACGTGCTTGTTACACATCTCCCGTAGCAATGATCTCTGTGTTAAAATTATATTTGGAATGTATTTAACCAGTTCAATCACATAATAATGACTGAGACCAATATTGTCCTTTAACAGACATCAAAATCTCAATGGGTAACTTTTTTTGAGAATACATGACTAAATGGGGTTTATCGTCCTACTGTTCTGCTCCGGCTGGGCTAATGAAGACGGACATAGGCCATACAGTGTGCTATGAGGAAAATTTTGCCCTGGTAGCGGCACTATGGCCTACTCGTATATCGAATGATAACTGCCAAGGGATCTTTTAGGTGCACGCCAATGTCTACACGGGACCTCGTTTTTTTTTTTAAAAAACGACTAGACAGCTGTTCTTATCAGGGCTTCCGTCCTGAACCACTGAGATCGAACACGCGACCTCCAGGCTAGTATAGTAATAATAAATAATTTGTGCAATTATAACTTCAAATAAAAAGTAAAACATGCTCATAGCGCATACAAAACTATATAGGAGTGAATTTTTTCTTACTGCAAAAAACACTCATTGTCGAAAACTTTCCATTGACAAACTGATATGTTAGACGGAATACTTGAAAGTATATTCGAGGGCTGACTGGTACCCAATGAAGCGTATGGAAAACTGGTGTTATGTGGTAACGATATGAAGATCTTGTGACCATTCTTGCTCTGAGATTTTGGATTTGGCAAAGGTGATTTAGTAGATTTTGAGGAAGACCGCTAAGAAGATTACTACAATAATCATGGTGGATGGAATCAATGATCGCGCGAGAGCTTCAGCCGAACCCTGTATAGGAATATAGTAGGTGAAACTAATGTTTTTCAGATGACAGTATAGCATTTTCTACAAATATCATCAACTTGTTGCGTACTAGGTTAGACCACTAGCCAATAATATGCCTAACTTTTTACCACGGATGTTAGCGGAAATTTCGTATCTCCATGTCAAAATTTAGGTTCGGGTTTTGAGACAGAAAAGGTTAATATCAGTTTTAGTTTCAAGCGATTAGGATCCATCCGGGTTTTAATTTGTCCGATACGTATAGACATTTTAATGACACCTCTGTTTGATCTGACCCAGGAATAAAATGATCTGGATATCGCCAGCATACGTCCATGCTGCTTTGTATACATTGTAAATATATCCGATCCTAAACCAGGACCTTGAGGAACGCCACCTGAGTTGATAGATAGGATCTAGCTACGCGATTGTAGCTAGAACGTTGAGATGTACTGATGTGCTTGTTTTTAGCTACGATTGGGTGCCTTTAGTTCCAAGAGGCAAACTCAGTTTCTTTATTAATGCATGTAACATCTTAAAAATAAAATAATTTTATACTATTATGACTAATTGAACTTACAGAGGCCAATGAAGTGGCACAACTATCGCCGAACTCCAAATATTTGCGTTTAAATTAATGAAACGTTGTTTTTATCTGACATTAAACGTCATACATCTCTTGTTTAAAAATGGCGTTCCTAGTAACGGCTTAACGCCTCGATTTTAAATACGATGATTTATACCTGGTTTAGGTAGGATTATATTGGATGTGGCAGAAGTATCATAAAAAAAAAACAATAATCAATCGTCGTTTTGATGAAAAATATTGTCAATTTTGCTTACAGAGTCCCGATGGTATTTGCGTTGGACTTTGCAACTATATAGCACCATTTCTTATCTCTATTTTCATCCCATATATACTTTCACTATAATCGTGAAATCTCAACCACTGACATTATGAAAATGTATGGAATGTGGTCTGACCTTTGGCAAGCTGAGACAGCATGGCCATTTCCCTTACGCTTAATCCGGTATCTTAAAACTAATACTCTCGCGGACATTAAAACGACAGAAATGGCCCCAGTTCAGCCCTCGCTTGCCGTCTTACACAAACGAAGTTTGTGCAAGTTCCAGCATAATTTATTTAGGTTCGTGTAAAACATGCAAAATACAGCATGTTGGGAAACACACTGCTTGTCATATGCGGTTGCGAAAACTCATTTGAAAAAATCAGCTATGAAGAAACACCATTTGGATGGAATCCAAATTTGCCCCTCTTTAAGGAGGAAATCTATCAATAGTTGGTTCCATTGGTCAAAAGTCCCTTAGTTACGCAGTGATCTACATTAACAATTCGGGATATCCGCCAAACAAATAAGCCTGCTAGCCCCCACCCCTTCTAGTATTCTATGTACAAAATACCATGATGTCCATATAACGGTGTCTAAAAAGAAAAGACTTTGATTTATCAAACCTATATTTTAATATAAATACATTTTATTACATTATACTAATGACTGGAAGTTTCCCGCAGTCCCTGGAGATTCGGTGAGTAATGTCAGCATCTTTCATTGGTGTCTGTTTACCAGTGCCAATCATGGCAACCAAAGCAAGCTAGAAATGGAAAATATTTATGATTTTAATATAAATAGTTATTTTAATATAAATAGTTATTTAAATATCAATAGAATAAATTAGATGTAAAACAAGTACATAGGTTAACAATCAAATAACAGCAGATCTGCCTCGGTACCAGAAAAGAAAACTTAGATGTTAAATTTGATAAGAGAGCTTCTGCCGTCAAAAAATCTAATCTCTATCGTATTTACTAACTTGTCCAGATACGTAATGAGATTCCAAGAATGCTGAAAATCAGCAGGGTTCATCCACTCCGTACTTAGTGCTTCACTCCAAATTTGAAAATCAATAGTGTTAATCCCCTCACAGACTTAATGCTTCTCGCCATATTTGAAAATTAAATTGCCTATAACGTACTCACAGGGTGGCGTAATTCCGGAACGGAATGTCGAAGAGTCTTGCATATAATAATAATAGTCTTTATTCAAAATCTTCATATACTACCTAATATTAACGCATTCGAACATGGCAATCAATCTTTTTAAACATTTAAATACAGCTATTTACATATAATTCATTATGAATAAAAACTTAATATAATTGATATCGATGGGGCTCGCCCTTCCTTGGTCCCAATGCTACTCACCAATATTGAAAGGCTTCCATTTTTTATTGCAGCATCTATCGACACATATTCTGTGATACCCTTTGAAGCGTCACAAGTGACGCCACTTGAGATCATTATTACGAGTTCACAATCAAATAATAAAAGAAATGTTATTTTATGAACTTTCATACCTCAGTAGCTCTTTGGCCTATTGGTGTGGTGATGGCCTTTTGTTGATCAGCGTTGAGGTCGAATACGTAGCATTCTGTCTGCGTTCTGATGATCATTTTGTTCTGAAATATAGTTCAAGCAAAAGATAATTATGCTAAACAAATTGGGCGGAAACGTAGCCGATCTGACAAAATTACTCCCTTCACACTAATAACTTGACCATAGCAATGAGACAGTTATCAAAGTTAGTCTCAAGTTCGTCGATGTAATATGGTGATGAGAAATTAAATTTTACCCAAGTGGATAGAATTATCAATTGTTGTAAAGACAAGTCTCAGTAATACCAGATTTGAAATAATTCGCTCTAGACCAGTGTGAAATTATTGGTTTGTGTTGTGCGTTTTAGATTTGATAACGAACTCTTTTATTCTGTCGACTGGCGTGGTTTCGAATCCCCGGTTGTACGTGGCAAGGAGTAGGGTCGCCTGTCCAACCTCGTGGGTTTTCCCCGGGGCCTCCGGTTTCCTACCACTGCTAAAGACCCCTACGCGCAAGCGAATTATGTAAATAAAATTAAACCATATGTTAGTCCCGAAATGACCTAGTATGTGTCGAGTGGACGTTAAACCCCATTTCTCTCTCTCTCTCTCTTTCTCTCTCTCTCTTTTATTCTGTCAGACAAAATCTTCACTTACATCCGCAGCATCATGGAAAAGGTGGAAGGTGGACATTTAGCCATAAATATGACTCCACTATCAAATTGTTACTTTCAAATTAGTAAAATGATGTCGAGAGATTTCTCATACGTGCGAATATATAAATTTTAGTCGTGAAAGAAAATATATACTTACATCCGCAGCATCGTGGAAAAAGTGGAAGTTATCGTGGATAATAGGAGCATGGGTAGAATGCGGGTGCTGGGTATGGGGGTGCTGGGTATGGGGATGCTGAGTATGGGGATGCTGGGTATGGCTTACTTGAGCCTGCAATTAAAAAAGTATCAATTATTAGAAACTAACTTTAGTGATAATATTCGATACAAACATCCGTATTTTAATAATAAAGATTGTGTAGTCCAGTTGTTCGGATGAAATGAAAAACTCAGATCACTTGCACTTCGGAGAAACAAAATCCCCAAACACCCCACCAAAAATCATTCAAGTACTATTTCGAAGTGTTTCTTAAATTAAATGCATGCGCGTGTATGTATACTTTTGCTGTGTACCTCCATGAATATCGCTCAATATAAAACTATACAAGGTTATTTATTTCAATTAGATGCGTTTTTATTTAATCTAAAACTGAACCACCAAGTTTTCACGTGTCCAATCTAATTTGATTTATCAATTAAGGAAGTTTTGAGTGTCCTGGTCTAAAGTAGCATTGTATACTTACAGCCACGTAGGATAGAACAGCGCACGCAATGATTAGTTTGAACATTTTCCTGGATTGATACGTTCTCTAGACGAGTTTCAGTTATAGCGACTTTCCCATTTTTCCTTTGCTTTTATGTCTTATGTCTCATTCTTATCTTTTTTCTTCAGTTAATCAGCAGTTCCTCATATCTTATCAATACAGTAGTGTCGTGTGAAGATTGTTATATGGCATTATTAGATATTAATTTAGTCTGCAGAACCTAGAATGTAGAATCAAGAGCGTAGTTGTGGTATAACAGAAACCCCCACACAATATGATAAATTTTAGAATAAAGAACTCAGAATGGGGCACATCTGACACATACCAAATTAACAATGGATTTTTATTATGATGAGCGGGATAGGGTTATAAATAAGTTTTAACAATATCCTTAAATGAAATGAAATGAAATGAAATGAAATGGAGTTTAACGTCCTACTGTTCTGCTCCTAACCTGGGCTAATGAAGACGGGCATACGCCATACAGTGTGCTATGAGGGAAATTTTGCCCGGACAGCGGCACTACGGCCTACTCTTATATCGAATTCCAACTGCCAAGGGATCTTTTACGTGCACGCCAATGTGTACACGGGGCCTCGGTTTTTCGTCCCATCCGAACGACTAGACAGCTTTCCTTGTCAGCCCCTCCGTCCTGCATCACTGACAAGGGAGAACCACGCCGGAAAATCTGGATGAACTTTCTCGGCCAATGCAGGGATCGAACACCCGACCTCCAGGCTAGCGAGCTAGCGTCTTACCCACTTAGCCACGTGATCCCCTATCCTTAAATGACATTTAGAAGTAAATGTATAATATTCATAATAACACAACTTTATGGTTTTACTACTTCTTGGTTTATTACATGTAACGTTTCAATACTCTTACAGGTATCTTTATCAAGCAATGATCAATAATGAATAACAACCTACATTTATAGTACATTCATGAGTAAGACAATAAAAAACATATTGATCATTGCTTGATAAAGATACCTGTAAGAGTATTGTAACGTTGCATGTAATAAACTAAGAAGTAGTAAATCCCTAAAGTTGTGTTATTATGAATAAGGTTTAACAAGTCTATTCATTTTATCTTTTTATTCCAGTATCAGGGCAGATAGATATGTTTGAAATATGGCGGTATATTAGATTCTATTCTTGTAATTCAAAACTTTTATTCATGTAATTTCTAAATTAAGACACTGTATAAATTAACTTCATTATTTGTTCAGTGTAAATTTGAATTCTGCTTCATCTTATTTCTATTATTAAGACGAAAATTGTCTACATCATTGTCGCTTTACATGTCAAGCATGAACGGCGAACAAATTTAGAATTTAGAATTTTAATACTTCTATTATACCTAGAAACCATCATTATGACGTTGCTTGGTGTCGCCATCGTGTGCTCAATTTGGCGTAACTGTAAAACAATCAAATAAAATTCTCCAAATCCTTGACTTGTCTTCAAGAAAAAAATTAAAAAATGTTGTTTAGCTTATATTTGAAATAGTATTTGCCAACCATTATCACGTTCGATGTTGTTTTCAATTCCAGCATCGATTCCCCGGTTGTACGTGACAAGGAGTAGGGTCGCCAGTCCAATCTCGTGGGTTTTCTCCGGGTCCTCTGGCTTCTCCAACTGCTAGACCCCAATGCGCAATGGAATTATTGACCTAGTTTGTGTCGAGAGGTCGGTTAACCTATCTAAGTAATGTGACAAACGCGGTTTTGCCTTTCCTCTTTCAGATTCCTTCTGCTTCCCACAAACAAATGCACTGAGGGGATATAGTACTGTTGTAATTTTATTACTGCCCGGGCCATCCCTAGAAATAAACTATTTTCTTCTCGCTTAAACATATGACTATGGTTATTGAAAAATTACCCATGCGTTTGAATTCGCCTTCGTTTAAATAAAGTCCCTTGTGAAATTAAACAGAGCAACGAATACAGGAATAAAACACCTCAGACAGTAAGTGAAGTCGCCTACACAATTTAAAATAATCTCCTCTCTATGAATATTGCTTCTAAATTTTCAATTATAGGTTAAAACGAATAAAAAGAAAGCTAAAATAAATTAAAGCGTTTCAGAGACTTTTTGCACAAATTTCGATGTTTTGACTAATCTCAGCAACTCATTAATTTATTTTAGCCACTGCAGATTTAGAATTTAATTTTGCAAATAAATATTGTACATTAATTATTATTGTATTTGACAAGACTTAATCCTACAGTAAATCCAGTTAGGACCTTCAGTTCGTCTTGCTGTCCCCTATCGATGAAAGCAGGAGGCTATTAGAATGGAACATAATAAATCTGCTTTTTATTTTCGGTAGAATGTTCAAACTAGGTGTAGATGTACATCGGGTGAATTTCCTGACTTTTCATAAACGGTTTACAGTTTTCAGAGGTAAAGAATTCCATAGCCAAAGTTTTCTTCAAATGTTATCTTTTTTCCTGACATAACTGAGGATGTCCCTTTCAATCGACCTCAAGGAAATATTTAAATCACACCTTGATAATTCCATATACGTAAAATGCGTAGCGCAATTACTCTGTACAAACTGTTCAGACATTATGTCTGTTTGGACCTAAGAGTTTAATAATGCACTTTTTGTGGCCGCAGGAATTGTCGACCTAATTTTGTCGTGCAGAAACAGTTCAAACAAAATTTATCTTCCGTAGTCTGAAATGAAATGAAATGAAATGGGGTTTAACGTCCTACTGTTATGCTCCTATATACTGGGATAATGAAGACGGGCATACGTCATACAGTGTGCTATGAGGGAACTTTTGCCCGGGCAGCGGCACTATCGCCTACTCTTATATCGAATTCCAACTGCCAAGGGATCTTTTACGTGCATTCCAATGTATACACGGGACCTAGGTTTTTCGTCTCATCTGAAGGACTAGACAGTTGTCCTTGTCAGGCCCTCCGTCCTGCATCGCTGACAAGGGGAACCACGCCGGAAAATCTGGATGAACTTTCTCGGCCAATGCAGGGATCGAACACCCGACCTCCAGGCTAGCGAGTCAGCGTCTTTCCCACTTAGCCACCGTGATCCCCTTTCCGTAGTCTAACTACCTGTAATCAAATGCGTATATAGTGAATAACACAGGTCCTGAATATCTGACTAACGTATACAGGGGAATGATTGTGAATATAGTAACTGATTCATGAAACGTGCATGTAAAATTAATTTATTATAAAAACCCACACATGCAGCATATCGCTTAATAGGGCTACCCACATACACCCAGTACAGGGATGGTAGGCTCGGTGCCCCGAAAGATGGAATTATTCTCACGTCGTTTGTTGGTTCGTTGTTAGCTTCAGACTCTTATTAGTATTGAATTTACGTAGTTTTTGATGAATTGGTAGGATTGACAGGCGCTACATGTGTGCTCAAGCTACCGGAAATACTCCAGAAAGCATTATTTGCAATCGTTTTTTTTTTCAGACCCTGTTGTCTAGTATTATAAGCTTGCGGTGAGATGTGTTAATTATTGCATGTGAGTGTGTCCCTTAAACGTGAAGGAGGCCGTTGTGATACAGCATTTGTCATTCTTTTAACATTAAAACTATTTTGGATATCTAATCGACACGACTGAACTTTGACTAAGGTTAAATCCGGGACTGTCTTCTCGAAGCTACAATTCTGAAGACCTGCGCACACCAAGCGATCTTTATCTAGGGCCGCCATCCTTACATTATGCAGCCGACAGATAATCCCAATGTTTTGTTAACTTGTCCAACTAACCACCGACATTTTAATTAATGAAAATCTTGTCCATGTTTTTTCGAATTATTTAAATTTTGGTTAGGTTATTAAAAAGACAACACATAACACCTTTCCTTTCAAAATACATTTTAATATCCCTCTATTTTTACGTTTGTACAGCAGTTCTCTGTACATATGTATAACAAAACATATCACCATTTTATCACCAACGTTAATTATTTATACAGATACCAAACTAAATGTCATCTTAAATGGCAGAAATATTATTTTGATTTTAACTATCTGCGGTAAGGCCATCTAACACTTTGTGATGTAGCATGCATTGGACACGGGTCGATTTTATATCGTCCGCTAATATATTTTGGTTTTTGACAATTTAATATTCAGACGCTTAAGTTGAACTGGTTTAAAAACCCCGGGGATCGTTAAACCAGTTTAACTTAAGCGTCTGAACGCAAATGTGGGGCAAATAAACCAGTTTAAAAACCCCAGCTCGCGACCTGTCTTCGAGAAGGCTTTTTATTTTAAACTGGTGCATCTTAGCCGTCTGAATGGGTTGGCTAAAAAAAACCGGCTCCAGCTTGCTTTGAGCATGCGCAGTACGCAGTAAGTTTACATTCCTGTCAGGCAGTGCCAATGTTATCGAAAGAGTGCGAGAACCGAATAAAGAATATGAAGCAACCCGTGCGTAGTTAACTCTAACCTCCGACCGAAGATGTCAGAATAGTTAAACTGGTTTGGCTTATAGTACGTGTGAACGCAACACGATGCTGTCTTAAAAACCCCAGCGATTATGAACTGGTTTAAAAATAAGCGTCTGAACGGGCAGTTCGCTCATCAGCCAGAGTATGCATACTGTTCTCTCTATATGGAGTTAGGTGTTTCTGTATTCTGCCGTCTTACAAATTTACTGTATTTAGTGTGATATAATAAAACCATCGTTTAGTTAACCATGAATCAGATGCAGCAATAAAAATGCCAATAATCCCTAGTCTTCGATGGATGACCTCACATAATATTCTATTTTAATACAATAATAATATTAATTTATCTCATATATAACAAATGTTAACAAATCTACAAACACAAAGCAACACATTGAGCTGTAAATGAAGGGGCTCGTAACAATATTTATCGACTATGTCTTTGTAAATTAGCTAAGATTACTGGGACAAGAATATCTACCAACCAGAATTTATAGTCGTTTTCGCGACATTGTAGATCGGTATTAGATCTATGTGTCATCCTGTATGTACATTTGGTCCAGAGTCAGCCTTGTCATAATCGGTCTTACTCGTAGCGTGATTGGTGTCGTGCGGGTGCAGTGCATGTTTATCAATTTATGAACACCGGGTACCACTTTCCATCGTGGGATTTGTGCTAATATCGCCCATTTTTCTTTAAATTCTGGCTTGGGTAGATTGTGGCTATTCGAAGTCTTGAAATGTTAATGAACACCCCTTTAAAAGCCAGCAACGTTACACACAAAACACTGTTAAATCCAGTTGGAAGTGAAATATTTTGGCCAAGAAATAAATATTTCAATAACTGATCAACACTGAGGTATGTAGGTATATCTAAAAAGACCTACGTGCATTCCAATATTTTAACACTAGTCCCTAGCATAATTTATATGTTAAGGAAACATTATTAGTAATAAAGAACATGTTTAAAAGATGTAATGTCCAGAATTAAAACGACTTTGTATAAAATCCTAGTATATGTATGTCTATATCGTTTGGGTTTTTTTTCTTATTTTTTGTTATTTTTCTTAAAAATGCATTATGTAGGAGCTAAATCTGTCTATTACAGGTGTAATTTGGCTTCAAATTTTAAACAAATTATTCACATGCCAAGCCTATAATCAATCATATGGTGTTGATGTAAATGGATTAAAATACGATTACCATTTAATGATTTAATTTAAAAATTGAGAAGCGAGGCTGAGTCTCGAGTAACAAGTAACGCTGTTACGAAAATAAATAATTTATGTGATAACGTGGCCAGAATAAATTCATTTGAATGAAATTTTCAATTAATTTTGAATTATCTTTTATGGAACAGTATAGCAAGAACGACGAGCTCTTTAAATAAATCTTACATAATGCATCTTTAATCTTAATGTAGTAATTTAAAATCTCACCCAGATCTAATACACTTCGGTTACCAATGCACCATTCTTTTACAGTTTTAGCTAAATCAGTTTATTATTCACGTCGTTGTTATGTGTATATACAATAAAATCCATCCTTTTAAATTTATAGTTGATTGCTGTACACGTACTGTATACATCAAGATGTTAATTTCGACATATTGCACTTTTCTGTAAGGTTGCAGCTGTGTAATTTAAGCACTTAAATTTAAAACTTGATTAAATGTTTCAAGCAAATGATAACATTTGTTTGATGCTCATGGAATACCATTTGGGTAAATATAATTTCCTTATTCAATTATTGGAAATGTCATATCGTATACTTTACCATTATTCCCACAACACATGATAATTTTCTAGGTAATTCATATCACAACATTCGGTAAGGCTCCTTTTTTGTTGTCGGTCAGTAGTCAAATTCCATATCACGGCTCACGAAAACCGAGCATTAAAAGGGGGCCGAACATTTTCAAATAAGTTTAAACTACATGGACAAGCTAGGTATTCAAAACAAATGACAGATATATATATATATATATATAATGATATAATATACAAAATTTTGGCATAGCTGATTTCACCAAAGTTGAGGTATGGCTTTTATTACAACAATAATCATCCGGTATCCTTAAAGTCTCTCAGCTGCATTAAAGTAATCTGCTGTTCTGAATTTATTCAATGCCCTCCCAGTTTTAAAATTAACAATAATTATAGCTTATTTGTTTAATTTAGACCTGTAGAGGATTTTTTTAATACCAATATAATTATTAAATAGTAATATAGACCAATTTTTGTTCAATCAGATGAAAATATTTTGGAATTCATATATTTCTTTTTTCTACAAAAATACTATCATTGCTATCTACAATCACATAAGCATAATATTATATATTTATATTTAACAATACATACAATCATTATCAAGGGTTACAAGTGAATACTTATCTAATGAGCTTGTCCATGATGCACATTAACGTACTTATAATGACACATAATAAATCAAGGGTTTCATTATTTAGGAGACGGCTTTATAACAATATTATGTCGGTTACACAACTAAAGAAAAGGTAATATTCAGCATATGAATTCAAGTATACAACTGTAGCCATGTTTCGACATTTCGTAAATCTTAAATTTCGACATCCGAGCTGCTAAATCGTTTCAAGAAAAGGTGAAAAGGTGAAATTTTATCTTATAGAAAATTTCAATTTTTCCGTTCGCGAAACTGCATCTGAACTAAGTCGATATCTACAAATTATTGTTCTCAAAGTTTTATCACATCCTGTCTTTGTATTATCTGCCGAGAAAATGAAATATCCGAATTCAAACAGTCTTTTTATTTGTATACGATTTATCTAGCATTTAAATTGGCCAATTGTCGCATTTCTGCCTCTTTTTCATATCTTTCTTGGTGAAGTAAGCGCCCTCTAGTAACAAGTAAAAATATAAGTTCGAACATTTCGGCGACTGTAATCAAACTAAAACCCATAAACAGACCGACTTGACCTCCAATAGATCCTGTTGAAGAAGAAAAAATACACAAGTTAAATAGGCAAAATACAACAGCTAGCGATGTCTATTACAGGTTTTTCTTTAGGCTTTAAATGTTATATATAACCTACTACTTAAGAGAGAGAGAGAGAGAGAGGGGGGGGGGGTGTTAACGTCCACTCGACACAAACCAGGCCATTTCGGGACTAACATATGGTTTTTAATTTTATTTCAATAATTCGCTTGCGCGTAGGGGTCTTTAGCAGTGGGAGGAAACCGGAGGACCCGGAGAAAACCCACGAGGTTGGACAGGCGACCCTACTCCTTGCCACGTACAACCGGGGATTCGAATGACAGACTTTATGGTACAGCGCGCGCACGCTAACCATTCAGCCATCCAACCCCCCTACTACTTAAGACATTTATCAACATGACAAGACCATAAAAAACCCTTGATGCCATCGGATGCGTCCGATTTTAAGTAGGTTAGAACGGTTCGGCCATTGAATGATTTAATTTAAAAATGGTGAAGCGAGCCTAAGCCTCGAACAGTCAGTACGGTGGTTACAATCACTGCACATATCTTGTCAATCCTTCAAAATCTAATATCTTCGCTCAGAATAAAGTAATTTGAATGAATTTTTTCAATATATTCATTTTTCATTATCTATTTTTGAACTATTATAACAAGAACGACCAGTTCTTTATCTAAATCTAACATAATGTCTCTTTAAATAAAATACACAAGTTACATAAAATTAAATAGAGCATTACTGGCAACAGATTTCATTGAATTAGATAAAAGGCAAGTATTAGCGTAAGCCTACTGTGGTACAAAGAATGGCGCCATCTTGGAATTGCGACGTTATATCAAAAAGTCACGCTAATTGATGTGTAACAGTCAAAGGAAAAGCGTGTAAACATTCGTGTTGATCGTACTTGAATTCGTTGGGCCTTAGGCTTTTTTCGAAGAACGTCGCCCTCAAGAATAAGAAGAACAACAAGCTGACTAGTCCGAAATTACAGAATAGAAGGTACCCCAATTAAATATTGGTTGAAGCATTATTACTAAGAATTAGGTTTAATAAAGCAGGCCGCCATTACAAAAAGCTTCTATGACATATACTAATTTCTTATCTGATAGAGAAAACCGATTTATATCGAACTGCCGTGTTTACATGGTAAAGGCTATCCTTCGTTTGTGAGCCAGCTCATCTAAACGTCGCGTCAACCTGTTTCAATTAAAAATTTTGATTTATAGAAGAGCATTTATAATGGAAGCAGGTTGGCCCTTCTAACCAGCTTCCTGGTCTGTAAACCGTCCTTTTCATATAAACAACGAAATAGGATAATCTTACATTTTTAGAGGAGAAAAGGTAAAATAGCTCTGTTTGATATAAATATTTCACTGAACACGTTTGGGTATCAGGGCTAGCCCGCATTTCAGGAATGTTAAAACATTCCTCGCAGGGCTTGCTCATTGGACCCTGTTCAAAAATCGCATAGTACAGTGACCATTTTCCAAGGTCCGGGTACCTTTGAAGAACAGGTTTGAACTGTTACTATTTTACGTCTTGCACTGAGATCATATCAACTGTATTGTTTTCTATTTTACCAATTATTGAGGATATAATTTTTACCTAGGAGTTTCTCTAAAGTATAAACCGGGACTTGTTCTATGACAGTTACAACTGGATCAGCAAAGAAAACATGGAGTGTTACTACATCAGCATCAATACTTGCATTATCCCTGTGGATATACAAAATGAGTAAGACGGACATCTATGAATTGTTTATCAACTGTTAAAATTCATGTTTGGTCTGTTCTTTACAATAAATAATCTATAGGTGAGATAATTATTTTAGGTTTGTCTAAATTTGAAATTTGAAATATTGTATAAGTATAAATAACGTACAATATTTTACTAAACGGTGCTGTCGGTCTGAATTTTGCGCATGTCACCGATGCTTTATGGGTACTTTCTCGGCATGGTAGAGGACAGACGCATTCAGCTTTTGCAGTTCCATTACTGTCTCCTTTGTAGTAAGTTGCTGCAATATAAAAATACCAATATGTATATCTATGTATATAATGTCGACAGTGGGGTACTGGGGCTGAAAATATCGGTTGCAAGGAGACAAAGGGGGCCCACCCACCAATACAATTCTATCATTTAATTTTTAGAATGAATAAAATAAACTTTCAAAAAACATGTAAGTGGAAACAAAAAGATGTAATTAGAATTTTCATGCTAATAATTTTTTTTCTAATATTTATATATTTTTTGACAATTTATATTTTAAATATATTGTCTAATGTCTAAGGGGGCCCACTTCCTCAGGGGCCCACTTGCCATTGGGCAAGCTCACAACCTGGTCAGTTCGCCACAGAATGCCGAAATGCGCTATCAGATTGACAATCGATATGCCATACGGTATTAACCACAAATTCCGTAATATAGATAGAGTAACTGGCATTGATGATGATGGTAATGTAAGTCATTCTAGATCAATGTTGATATTTATAAATTTCTATCGTTTATCTTGCAAAATTAACTTCGAGAAAATGTTTAAAATTTTAAAGTTTGTAGTCAATATGCAGAACATGTTTTATGAAAAAAAGATTATGTAAAACCTTTCAGGAATTTTAAGTGAACATAATACAGGTGTTGTAGGGATTTCCATTGTAAAATGGGAAATACTATTGTAGAAAATGTTATACTATTCGATCGTGAGTTACGCGGTTGCTCTGCTATGAAATACTTTAATAATTCCAATGTGAAGACCCATACAGTTCACATTCATGATGCTCAAGTGGTGGATTTTTTACATTGCAAAATTAGTCATTGCTTCCTCAACCACTTCTAACAACGTACCGAAGACACATCTATTAACGATTCTTCATTCGCAAATATATTGCGAAATTAGGTAGTCTCTATAAGGACTCTACCTACCTTCAGCATGTCTGTAACACCCCGAAAGATGCTCAATCGAACATAAACTTTCATTACCTGAAAACGAAAATATGGGAATACAATTGCAACTTGATTTTAAATAAAACAAACACAAAAAATACAATAAATTACCTGTGGCAACGCCGGTGGTGATGGTTTAAAAAGTTTTGATAACATTTGCTCAAGATCTATATCTTTTGTTATAAAAATGGGTCTAAATACCGATTTTCTGTCACTTGGAAGTATTGTGCTAATCTGGTTCAATATTTCAAGAAAAGATGAATTCACTTCACAAATGGCAGACAAAATAGGTATTTTTAAAATATGTTCAACCAATTTCACACTTTATGATATTGTGAAGAGTTTTGAACATGCTTAAATTTTGCCTCATAAGCTTTTGAAGTTGGTAACTCATTGCATACAGGCAGCTAGTGAAGAGTTAAAAAAGTAGTAAAGCTTTTAACCAGTCAACCCCACTCCCACCACCTCCGTTTCTTGTGTCTTATTTTGTAGGCTAGAAATACGACCACTCTTCCTGACTATCACAGACCTTTGTAATCGGATAATCTTTTTTTTTCTTTTTAATGTGTATACATGAATAACATTTACTTTACAAATTGCTTCTCGTCGTATCGACATGTTGTGTTAATACAATAGATTAACAAATAAAAAATATAATGTTACATGCAGGTCATATTATAATAAAGTACAGCATGTCATTCTGTAAAACCGACAACGATCATCAAATCATCAAAACAACACAATACACAATTTATTTTAGTTCGCATGGGCATTATCCATTACCGTGAATGAAATACGTATTTATTAAAAACATTTTATTACAATCGAATCTATAAATTAAATGACAACCTCATTGTATTCAGCAAATGTATTATTTAAAATTGTATAAAAATGTAGGTTTCGGATAACAAAATGCATTAGAATGATTTGTTATCTGGTGGAAATATCGTCATGGGCGTGTACACTAAGCGGAACTAGGCGAAACCATTTGATTTTACCGATGAAATTATGCTATTGGTATATTTTGTGCATTTGTCCGTTAAACTCTATCTCTATGTACAAGCACTTCCATCGAACCATAATTGTTTACTTCACAATTCATCGCTGTGGTCATATAAACGAAAGTTAAAATTATCAAAATAGATATATACCCGGATGAAGGAAATGCCGGCATCCGCAGAATTTGACAACATAATCCATGAAGCATTCCTTTTCACAGGCTTCTTTAGTGTAGAAGTCAAACCTCTTCAGTGGATTGGTAAATTTATCGCTATTTGTATCAATACACGTGCTGCCACCAAACGCCAAGAATGGCGGTTCCAGTCCAATTCTCTAAAATGATAAGAAATTCTCATTGTTACAATTGTTACTAACAGTAATGGAATGTCTCATATGGTGCATAATTATGTGTGTGGCCATTGCTAGACATAATCCCCACGCTCTCCCATTCTTTGTTATTACATGAGAATTTACAAAAGAAAAACGCCCCCAAACCAGATATATCCAATTCTAATGGGAAAGAGTATATCGGGCCTTTTTTTGTTGGGGGCGGCAGAATATGACAGTCTGTAAACTGTTCATTACATTAATCACTGAAAGCGTCACTGTCTCAAAAACTAGCGATGTAACACGAATAGGGTAAATATAAACTTTTGTTGAGATGGCCTATGTTACGAGTTACCCATTTGAATAATTTTGTACCAATGTACATGACGCTATATATTCTGCTGGTATATTATTCGTTTAGTTCGGAGGGAAAATGTTTTCAGATAGACAGTTTGTATTCGCATGGGAAACAGTAGTGCGTCTTTGCTTGCTGATTTATTTATGTAATCTGATGAGTTAGATTTTATCCAAAGTCCCATGCAAAAAACATAAATGCTGCTCTTTTTTAAGAGGGGATGGGGGTCATGGTCCACTGAAACCAGTGTATCTACCAACTAGTGTTAAGTCTGTATTCAAACATTCTGTGGTAGCCATCACGATTGTTGATCATTAGTATTGCCTTGCATATCTAGTTGGTGCAACCTGGTGTTTCCGTTTTATCAACCTTTATTTTAACACGAAGGTAGTTGTGAGTATCGTGCGCAAGGAAGGGTATGTATATTAATTCATACCAGCCAGGTACTACTTTCCATTATGGAATTTCGCCCATGTGGCATATCCACTGGTTAGGATCGAGTGTGCTCCTTTTTATTTTCTATCTTGATATAACTTTACATTCAAAAGTATTGTTCTGTGATCTGTGAAGTACTTATGTGAATTTCTTAAATGAGAACACGAAAGTGGTTAACGGGACCGTCACAAAGTGAACAAAATAAGTTCTGGAAGGAGACGTTAAACACCAACCAGTCAGGTGTGAAGTAGGCGGTTAAAACATTTACCACTGATTTTGAAACTTCTACTTCCGTTGAGCAGTTTGCACCAACAACGAAACCTCTGGACTGTGGTAATGGATCCTCGTCGTGATCGTGTAAAACAATCTGAAATGACAAAAAGTGTGAAGATTTTATTTAATATCTACTAAAATAACACAATCCACAATCGCCTTTTGTGGGAAAGGCCAATACCGTTGGATACATAGCATCATTCCCCAGAGATTTTCTTGCAGCGCGGTAAATCTAAAAGGTTACATAAAAGCAAACGCTTTTAATAGATGAAATAAAATTCCTTGGGTTCAGCATCTAGCTGTTAAACTTCCTTTTGATTTCCTAACAGTTCCATAAACCTGTCCACGCCGTCACAGTTATTACAGTATACGTATCAATAATAGATATAAATGACGCCAAGGCGAGTAGATTCCTCTTGTGGTAGTGATTTTAGAATGTATTCTGGCATTTCTTAATAAAGAGAGGGTCATTTGAAACCTAACGAGAACAGTTTCAAGAGTGTAATATATTTTTTAATGACGAACACAATCTAAATGATTGTGATATTGACCTCATTCTCCCACATTTATGAAGTCTGTATTTTAAATAGATTTCCAAAGAGAGCTGTGTAATTTATTACTTTTAAATTCATATTTGACTTCATGAGAGATAAATGTAATATGAATTAGAAGCCTGGAATCAGACTAGTCACAATAGACAATTTAATGATCAAATATATTTAAAAAAAACGGCGTCTATACACAGATTGTTTGCAAGGCGCCAAAAGCACAATCTTTTCCGGTATAATTAAAATTAAGCTATTTCATTCCTGGAAGACAGGAAGCCTATTTTTTAAACCTTCGCAAATTCAGACTAACTTAACGACCGCCGGAATTTTAAATCATTCCAATTGTCTATAATAACCCAAGTTACAGGCCACTTCTCCCCTCTGTCAATAGTTTTCGGTTGATCAAAATAAGCACTCTATAATATTATATTATCTTTTGGTAATCTAGGTAAAGGCAGTCTGTGTAAAAGCCATAATGCGTTATGCCAATTCCCAAAGGAAGGGGAAATAATCAAATAATCTGCGCACATTGATTCAGGACTGGCCCGAGTGTTAAGTAAAACGGTGACTGACATTTTATTTAAAACATACTGCCTGCAAATAATATTTCCACTAACATTTTATATTGCACAGTATAAAATGACCGATGGATGAAATATAAACAATTAATTTCCCGTCTATTCTCCAAAATATAGAATTTTCAATGTCCATGGTCGGAATTCACCTAACGTTTACAGATCAGGAGAGTCTGATGCATACTATTGTGTATCGACTTACACCTGATATTTATAATGTTTACCAAAGGAACCCCCCCCCCCCATGCTCCTGTCCGTTCTGAATTTCTGATGTTTGGTGATGTAACACACTAAACTTACGTTTTCTGTCTACAAATACTTCCGTTTGAGGACAGACACTAAGCTAGTTAAGCGACATTTTAAGTCCTAAATCGACGATTTTGGTCGAAAACACAAAGTATACTTCGAGAAGTTTAAGAAGTATTTATTACGCTTCCATCCTATAAAACTGAAACGCTTTATTTATCCTGTGTGTATAAAAGACGTGAAACCGAATAGAATCTTATTACAAAATAGGATACTAATTTTTGAATATGGCGGTCATTCAAGGCAGGGATCTATTCTCTAAGTAGATAGTTCTCTGTGTTCAGAATGGTAATAGAAGAGCTTTCTAAAATTGGTTGTTGTTTTTTGTTTGAGAAATTATTTAGAAGGCAAACATGGTGTTTCAGCTGAAAGAAAGTATTTTGTGCGTATAGCATTAGCCCTGAATGATTTATTACATTTATATTCGCCGTATTGCAAAATGTCCATACATTTAATTGTATGAAAACTGTAATATTTTATGTTTTATCACAAGTATTGCGAAATAAACACTGCAAATAAAGTTATAGGTTATTGGTGTGATTGTCTTAAAGGTCTATTAACCAAAAACAACAAGTCAAATGAAAACTGTTCTCTCTATATATCTGCATAGGCATGGTTCGCAAACAATGAGATTTTGACATTTAACGAATAAAATATTTGCAGAAATTTAAGGAATTCTCATTGATTGAAATATCACGATATATAACACATACATTTTTAAGTATGTCGTTTTGCAATATTATATCTGTATTGGATTATTTTTACAGATCTATGGTTCAAAATATTAAATTAATGGACATGGGGGTAGGTTACCCTATGGACTATCTTAACAACTTCGCAGTTTATCCGATTTCGTAGACAAACCAGTATCCGATTGGAACAAGTACGAGCATACTATGAACCAGAAAACCGACTGACGTCATCGCAGCCATTTTGGGATATTGATGTCGTATCGAAAATCAAGTTTTATGTCGATTGAATTTGAATTGATGGAGCCTTATAGTCTGTTTTCGAAGAGCTTAGCCGCCCCCCCCCCCCAAAAAAAAAATAATAAAATAAAATAAAACAAAAAGATGAGTAGCTCATGGTGAAAAGTTTTGGGAACATTCTTTACCCCTTTTTATTCGGGACAATCGGCTAAATCTTATATAACCAACTTCTAGTTTGCTCTGGTGAAACCGTTATATATTGTTATATACATTTATTCTCTCAGACATACTTTAACTGAGGATTCATTTGAATACAAAAGGGTGCGGTGCAACTGAACATGGGGAGGATCATAGGATCAGTATATACCACAAAACGTTTCTTTGAATAACTAATATAAATACATACACATAAATCGTAATGATGCATGCTATGGTTTGTAGTCGTACAATGTATTGTTAAAGCCCCTGTCACTCCAAACTAGTTTTCCCTACGTTTTGGAAAAGGCCATAGAAATCGTAAGTTCAAATCATATAAATCATATTAAGTTCAGATGGAATAAATTTGTCATTTTCAAGCAGTCCAAGCCCTCCCGTAGTACATTAAAACCCGTTCGTAACTAGTTCTTCCCGTTTCCCAATACGTCAGCAATTGTTTCTAACCAGGTCTAACTAGTTTGTAACCCGACCATTCATTGCGTTCGAACGAGCGCTCTTATTGCGTGTGCAATACCGTCCTGACTCGAGGGCTATAAAAACCCATCGCGCTTGGGATGGCCTAGTGGGCTAGAGTGTCAAGTCTTCACTCCGTCTAATTGCAGGAAGTGGGAAATTTTGAACAGACTCAAAGTTCTAGAGCACCTCCCATCCATGAAGTTTATAAGCAGATAGTAAACAGTTGCTACTACGTTCACCCCATTCGAACATAGTTGGGGCCAGTTTTGGCAACGTCCTTCAGAACGTAGTGAGAACTAGTTTGGTGTGATGGAGAGGGTTTAACCATGGCTCGCGATGACAAATTGGGTTCTTGTGTAATTGCATATACTAGCCTCAGAACCCGTAGAACCTATATCCATAATAATAACTTTATAATTATTCCATTGGCGGTTTGCTGGGGCGAAATTAATCAGAAGTGCTATCGGCCTTGAAATAATCATTTTTTTATAATCTTGGCCATGTGAAACAGCTACATGACGTCTGTAACAGCTACATAGCGTCTGGCGTCCTTATCACCTGTCGTATCATTGCTTTCACGTTGATTATTGTTTTGTATTGGTGACATGCCGAGGTCCAGAAACCAGCAGGAGTGGTAAAATATTTTAAACATAGATAAGATAATGAATTATATGAAACTAGATAGAATCAGCCAGAACGAAAACACGTCAACATTCGAATGTATTATCTTTTTTGTTTTAAAGAAAGTCAAACAAAATCGATACTAGCAAGTGGTCAAGACGCGTCTTCAAACTCCAATAAAACGACTACAACATGAGAATTTCAAGAAGCAACATTTCTTTGGTTAAAGATGCATTATGTAAAATTTAGATAACGAGCTGGTGCTTATTGAATTTCAGTTATTTTATTCTGAGCGAAGTTAAGAATGTTTGAAGTTTTGACAGTAAAAAATCTCTTTTGTCGGGTAGCCTTGCGCAGATAGTTTCACGAATATATTGCAGACGTTAATATCTCAGCCATCCGATAATTTAGAGTGTTGCTTTATATATTAATCTATATAACATTTAAAGTCAGTAACAACACCTGCCATAGGCAGATTTGGGTAAATGAAATGGCGATTAACGTCCTATATTTATGCCCCGGCCTAGCTAATGCAGACGGGCATACACCGTGTAATGTGCAATTTTACCCGGGCAGCGGCGCTATGGTTTACGCTTAGGTCGAATTGTAACCCTCAATGGATCTTTTTACATGCCTTGATGTGTACAAGAAACCTCGGGCTTTCGTTCAACCCGAACTACTATGCGTTGTCCCTTGCCAGAACCTCTGTCCTACACTACTGACAAGGGGGTGTAGGGGGAGGCACGCTGACATATCCACATCAAATTTCTGGCCAACACTGTGGTCGAACATGGGACTACAGGTTAACGAGACAACATATTACCTACCCATTGAGTCACCCTAGCTAGTTCCTGAAGATTTAGGTGGATAGAGAGCACAAATGACTTTACGCATGCTGGCCGTTGTATATACATATATCCATCATTGCAATTTACAGATGGTATCTCGAGGGAGAAAAGGGGATCATTTCGTAAAGATATTGAAGTTAGATTTATTATGCCAGGTTCATTATCTAACTTAATTACATATTACATGCTAAACACTAATTAACATGTTTTTTTACGCCTCGTGTCTGTCATGTTCAAACATGAATGGAAAAGATTTATGGTTGTAAAAAAATATTCTCCCTGGAGGAAATAATGACTGGCATTATAACATGCGTAAAATAAATTAGAAAACAGATTAGGGGTTGGGTGGTCTAATGGTTCGTTATGCAGACACGTGCAGGCGTGGTTTCGATTTCTCGCTTGTACGTGACAAGGCGTGTAGTTTCCTCCCACTGTTATAGACCCCTATGCGAAAGTGCATAATGAAATATCAGTCCCGAAATGACATAGTTTGTGTCGAGTGGAGGTTAAATCCCATGACATAAGACTTATGACTGTATTCGGTTGCTTAATTTTAGCTAACATTTTACTCTATGGAAATACTGAAAGTCAAATTCCAATTGACTAGAACTCTTTGTTTTGGGTTTTACATATTCAAAATGTCGCCCTTGCTCTCATTTCTCAGATCAGAACTAGGCCCTAATACTTACGTTTTGGGGACAAACAGCCACGCAGCCATTCCCAGTATCTCTTAGTGGTATCGTTCAATCCTCCTCCACTAACCTATGGGTCCATCGGAGTGGTGGGGGGGGGGGGGGTCAAAGTATCCGTCCTTGATGCTTGTGCTATTTTTATCGACCAATCGCATTTTATTGCAACTAAGATTATTGCGATGAACGTAAAAAATGTCACTAACACTGGTATGTAAACTGTGTTTGATTGGTTCGTAGAATCAAGTTACGTCCAAGGGTGGATGGACCCAGAAGTTAGTGGAGTAGTACAGAACGATACCGAAAATGTCATGCAGTTGTCCCTGGGTATCACGAAACCTCAGCTAATCGCTGCACATTTATGATACTTACTTTAAAACCTTCAAACTGGTACAACCGGTATGGAATATCAGTTCTTATTGTTGTTATAACAACGTTGAAACCTCGCAATGAATTACTCACGGGGTTTGGCTTCGCACTTCCATGATGATTTCTCACCAATTTTCTAGTATCTACAGTGAAACAAATACCCATTTCTGTCACACGTGTTGTTAACGCCGAATCACAGTTTTCCCAATAATAATCCCCCCACGCACATTTCAATCCCGTACCTTTGATCATGTCGTTCACTTGTTCAAAAAGAGTCTGAACAATATCGTCTGCAGTTTTATTAGTAGGCGGCGACTTATCTCCTTTGACTAGTGCTCGGAGAAATCTTTTCCCCACCAGGTGATAAATTCCAGATATTTCTGTTAAAAACGTCATGTATTTTTGTGTTCTATCATCCATTTTCGATACAAAGGCTGTATTGAATATGTTTAAATCGCAAACGGTTATAGCGGGAAAGTCGTCCTCCTCTAGGTAATTCACGTTCACACTGGTAACAGTAGGATAGCGATAATAATCCGATAATTGAACATATATAGTTGTTACTAGTAGGGCTCCCATCACCAACACAACTATCACCCAAAATATACTGAAAATATACAAAACAAAAATCAAATTTTAACCAAATAATCTTTCTGTCCGACATCGAAGAAAAAGACTATATGAACTCATTTTGAAACATTTTTATCTGACACATTTTCTTCAAAATCGGTCTTCAGAATTGTGGCAAGTTTTATTCAACGAATAATTCTTTGGGGTTTAGGGTACGAGTATGATTGTCTTCCTGTTGTGGACGAAGGTGAGTCAGATTACAATTTAATGTGAAAATCAAACGAAACGAAACGAAATTGTAATTGTAACCTGATTTTAATAAGACATTTTAAACTGTTTAAAGATACATTATGTAAGATTTGGATAAAGAGCTAGCCATTCTTGGTATGATAGTTCGAAAATAGATAATGTAAAATGATTAATTTGAAAATTTCATTCAAATTACTGTATTGCTAGCGAAGATATTAGCCTTTGAAGGTTTGACAAGACATGTGCAATAATTTCAACCACCGTACTGGTTGTTCGAAGCTAAGTCTCGCTCCTCCATTTTTAGCTTAAATCAAAATATGGCTGAACTGTTCTAATCTATTTAATATCAGAGAAATCCAATACCATCGAGAGTTGATTATGGCCTGAATGCGTTAATTAATGTCTAATTAATAATTTAGAAAACATTTCATGTCTAATTTATGTTTAATAGAATTCTAGTAAAGCAAACTATTGTTGGAATGTTATTATGCCAATATGGGTGATGCGGATTTGTTTATAATTGCAAATGGTGTATTTGAAAAATTGGAGATAATAGATATCACATTCTGTTTTTAAAAGTTTGGGTTCTCATTGGAATTTCTCGTGTAATATTGGAAATGAAAATAACAATTTAGAACATAATTGTTTTGCTGGTGGAATGTGATCCAGGGGAAACAAGGAATTTTGTCAGAGTGAGATATTATCACTAAATTTTAAAATGGCCATATCTCTTTGATATTGATTTAAAATATATAGATTTTATATGTTGAGAGAGAGAGAGAGAGAGAGAGAGAGAGAGAGAGAGTGAGGGGGGCAGGTGACCCTGTAAGTGTTTTTATTATTTTTTTTCGGGGGGGGGGGGGAATTCGTCAGTTTGTGCAGCCAAAACTGTACATGGTGCAAACATTAGGCCAACGCAGATGTGGTTGGCCTCCATGGATCTATTTATTAAACATAAATTGGGTTATTTTTGACGAACAGAAAGTGTTTTAGGGATTGGACAAAAAATAATCTCGGATTGCCCATATCTCGGTTATTTCTCAATGGATCATGGATCTTCTTCGGGTTTTCATTTTTGGATTCTTTGGACGAATCCCATATGGGCTGTGAGTGACGTTTTTTCGAAATAGAAGTTCTAGTTGTTGTTGCTATTTACATATGAAGGAGTGATAAATAAAATGTGTAAAGACATACAAAAGTTCTTGTAAATCGAAATGTCAGTTTAAATCACGGTGTTAAATCCGTTAAGTTATACAAACTGAACAAATCAATCACTGTCTAAATTCGATATCTCGAAGTAGTGAATCCTTTTACTGTTTTACTTATGTCAATACCAATCATATCTTACCCGATTTTATCTTATTTTTATGTCACTATTTAATTTGATCTTATTTCAGTTTGGTTAGAACTAATCTATCCTCAACTTTAAGTTGTCTATATTCTTTGGAAGCTGATTAATCAGTACCGAATAATATATTAATGCTTGCCGGTGTCGCGGATTGATACGGTACCCGGTTTGTCTCGTTTACTTATGGCGTACGTGAAACCGTGTTGTTTTATATCATTTATTTGTTTCTTTATTTTCTATGTATTTACATAGTTTTTCTTATTATTTACAACTATCATTGTCTCCTATGTCTGTCAATAACTGTGCTGTATATTATGTATGCCTACCAATAGGGCTACCATTCTACTTGAAAAAATATCAAGCCAAGGTCGCTAACCAAACCTGGCACCGATTCAAACCGCATTACCGGCATTAAATTCGAAATATATCAGATTAATTGCATTAATACTCCTCACATATAAAAACGGATTATTAATTGACACCTCCTCAAACGAAATATCAAACGCGCGTAACACTATTCGTTTCGTTTAATTCAAACTTAATCACACGCTTTGTGCGGAAACTAAATGTGACGTTTAGCATGTCAGATTAATACGTTCAATAAACAAAATATAATAACGTTACTTGGTGTTTCAACATGGTGGACTATTAAAAGTTTTTATTGTGAAGTAGAATTCACAACTCCCAGAACACGTCGCATATCGAATTACTTTCCACATTTGAAATGTCAATCTTGTATTGCGTTGTGAATCACAAAGTAAACAGATTCTTAAAGAAGCAGGCACTGACAAGGAACAGCGTCTAGTCGTCGGATGGGAGAATAATAATCGAGGTCCTGAGTACGCGTTGATGAACATAAAAGAAAAGAAGGGTTTGATAAAACAGTGTCATTGTTTCGTTTAGGCACCGTGAGGCAGTGAGAGAGAGGTGTGTGTGTTGGAGGGGGGGGGGGGGGGGGGGTAACGTCCACTCGACACAAACTAGGTCTTTTCGGAACCAACATATGGTTCAGTTCTATTTCAATAATTCACTTGCGCGAAGGGGGTCTTTAGTGGTGGGGGGGGGGGAACCGGAGGACCCAGAGAAAACCCACGAGGTTGGACGGGCGACCTTACTCCTTATCACGTACAGCCGGGGAATCGATAGTAAAAGAAAGGAAACCTTGACACCATTTCTCTTAAAACGCACTTCATGATTCTCTTTATTATCCTGGTGCAGAAAATCAGAATGTTAAACCCTTCTCATTTCATTTTAATAATACACAGTCGTTTATTCAACTGATTAGTGTTTAAAATGAAATGAAATGAAATGAAATGGAGTTTAACGTCCTACTGTTCTGCTCCTAACCTGGGCTAATGAAGACGGGCATACGCCATACAGTGTGCTATGAGGGAAATTTTGCCCGGACAGCGGCATTACGGCCTACTCTTATATCGAATTCCAACTGCCAAGGGATCTTTTACGTGCACGCCAAATACAATTTGTTTTCTAACTTATAAAGTATCGTTTTTGTTAGATTTCAACTTGAATTTGTGTTCAGCCGTTCACTTCAGATTTCAAAAGAGAATGGGACCAAAGAAGATACCGACTCACCCCTTAGTTTGAAGGATTAAAAGCGAAACCTCTTCAGAGGTTGTTGATTTTTAACTGAAAATAATTTGTAAGTAAACTCACTAGATATAATTTCCGATACACACGTATTTAACACACAATATTTATGTCACTATTAAAAAACTTTGCGGTGTTTACTGAAATGTATCATTACTCGCTGATGCCAGAATCACGATTATCACATTAGAAGAATACAGCAAGAATAAACGAGGGATGTACAGTTGCACCATCCTTTTTGAATGCACAATTACAGTAAGTGCTACAGTTCATCACGAAAGCAAGAACTATAATAAAATATTGCTAACAAATATTACAGACCAACAACCCACAAAAGAAAAAATAAATAAAACGCGAATACAGCAAAGTCAATCCAAAATACAAAAGTGAATGGCAACTTCCTTAATGATGTATACCAAAATGAATCTGAATGTGAATATGTAGTAGAATTATCTATAAAATATTGAGCATACCCGTGAATAATATATGACCTCTTTCAACATCTGCAGTTAATAGGCCAAACTGAATATTATAGAACAAGTAGGGTCTGGGACGAGCGTTTTGACTAGCAATCGCCTTATGCCTGGATAAACCTGTCTAGATCTCATACTCTTGAGCAATGACCAATTTAGTCTATTCTTTGGCATTCCTAGATACATTTCGGTATTTTTCGCCAATGCCATGCAAGATGAAGAAATAAAATTAAATTCGGTTTCACGATCTTCTCTGCAGCAACTGACGTTGCCAGACCCCGTCCTGCATCATGCTGGAAACTTTCTCGACCAACCCCGGGATCAAACCCATGACCCCCCCCCCCCCCTCGTCAATGAGCCAGTGTCTCACTCAATACACCTCCACGACTCTACTTCCCATTTATTGCCCAAAGTATGGAACTGGCAGAATACTTACTGTTTTCTGGGGGGTTTGGGGGTCACGGTGGCTAAGTGGATAAGACGCTGGTTTGCTAGCCTGGAGGTCGGGTGTTTGTTCCCTGCATTGGCCGAGAAAGTTCATCAAGATTTTCCGGCGTGGTTGCACCTTATCAGTGATGTAAGACGGAAGCCGGACAAGGACAGCTATATATTCGTTCGGATTGGACGAAAAACCGAGGTCCCGTGTACTCATTGGCGTGCACGTTAAAAATCCCTTGACAGTTGGAATTGGATATAAGAGTAGGCCGCAGTGCCGCTGTCCGGGCAACATTTCCCTCACAGCACACTGTATGGCGTATGCCCGTCTCATTATACCAGTTCGGAGCAGAACAGGACGTTAAATCCCATTTCATTTACTGATGCTGATACAATTGTGTCATGGAAACGTCAGGTCTTTTTTTTTTTTGGTACACTACTTTCAATGACGTTTTAGACGAACGGTACAATAATTCATTGAATATTTAACAATGAAAGTAAATCACTGAAGTGTAAAAATCTGAGGAAGTAGATTTATTGTGTAATACAATCATGTCGAGTATAAAGTTTAGTACAAAGGGTGGATTGGATTGATAAGATGCCTTGTGAGATATCCGTCTTTAAATGAGAGCTATTTATACGTGAAAACATGAGCCGATATGATCTGACAAGGATGTTCAATCTGTGTCAAACATTTCTTAAAACACGGCTCAATCTATTAGCTATATGACAGCAAGGATCGAGTTTCTACTCGATTGCCAAAGGTTTTAGAGATTGTCAAAGAAGCTTTAATCAAAATGACCACAGCTTCACACTCGATCTAACAAAATGACTGAAACTTCTATAGCATTTACCGAAATGTTACTTAATTTACTAAAACTAGAATATATTAATCATTTAATAAAGTAGATGTCTTTTTGACAT